TCACCCTGTTTAACGCGAAGGCTGGACTTGAACTGCTGAAGCGTCGACCATTTCTGGCCAGCAACTTTCAGCGTCATTAAGCTGCTGCACCACCGCGTCTCATATTGTGTGAACTAAGCCATCATGGTTTGCTGAGCAAATCAAGGCCATTATGATGTGCTCAGGGATCATGATTAAAACAAGCCAAGGCTAAATGTGCTGTATAAGTCCAGTCAAAGTGCTGCTTAGGGTTAGCATGAGGACAATAGGGCAACCTTTCCCAAGCTGATGCTCTCCAGCTAAAATATTTGGCTGGGAATTATGCATCTTGTGGGGAACAAGTTGAGGAAGGTGATGTAACTACAGGTAAAAGAGCATCCTTCCTCCAGACATGAAACTTCATATTCATCAGTGTTGTTCTAATGGTATAGTAATTTGCATAATTGTCATTTCCAAAGATTTTAGATGCAAACTCAGTCCTGTCCAGAATTAGAAAGAAAGTCAGTCAGTCAGTCAGTCAGTCAGTCAGTCAGTCTGTCTCTCTGTCTCTCTCTCTAAGGTTTCCAAATTTCTGCATTTGAGCTATGGTATGTTCCTTTCTACTTACCACTGACATCTTTACCCAGAATATTCCTGGCTTGCTTCACAGTTGCTTTAAGACAAAAAATTGGCTTCTGAAAAACAAAAGGAGGAGATCTTAAATGAGCACCCAGCTAGCAGGTGAACAGAATAGCATCTGGGATGTCCAGGTAGATGTAATCATTAAAATAGGAAAGGCTAATGATGAATAAAACCATGAATAATTTAGACTAACGTGGAATATAAACAACTAAACTTCCTTGGAAACCCTTTTGCAATTAAAGAAATAGAACAATTCCATAATAGCAACCTATGAAATGCTCAAAAAGCCCCACAAGTGATGCAGAGACGGCTCATATTCTTTTCTCCATCTCTTTGGCAGATCTGTGTGTGTGTGTGTGCAGGTGAGACTGACAGACTAAGATCTGTTTGTGAAGCAGGGGTTTAGTCTATGCTGAATCTTCATCCAGAAGAAAGCAGAGAATTAACTTTGCTCTCTGCAGAACATTCTATGGCACTACTGGTTCCCATAGAAATCTTACAGGGAGCAGTAATTTGTTGCATATCAGTATTAAAATCTCCTATCATGTGCTCAACATGCATATACGGGTTGAAAATTGCTATAAATCTCTGGTAGCTTTTTCTAAGAAAGCTCAAGGCAATGTTGCTATATTTTGATTATTTTATACAATCATATTATACAATCATTATAATCTGTGCAATAATTCTGTACAAGTAATATATAGAAAGTCTCATTGGCAAGAGGGAGAAATATATCTTGACTCAACCAAAAACTGGCTGAATGTTCTCCTCTCTCCAGCACAACCCTTACCTATAAATCTGTTCCATATCCTGCCCCCATGAATGTTCTACTATGTAAATACATAAAAATTACAATTGGTAAAAAATGTTATTCCTGTGTATTTCATTACGTAGAAATACTGAAATCTGGTCATGTCTTTCATTCAGTTACTTTTGAGTGGCAGACTGACAACACCTTAGATGAAATTTACAGTTATTAAAACCAGTAGACCAGTCATACACTAAAGTAAAACTTCAAGATACATACAGCAGCAGAATTCTTGGAAAAAAGGATAATCTTTTCAAGTGATGAACACTAAATAATTTCTACAAATGCCTACATAAGAACCATTGATTCAGTCAATAAGGATAAAATAAATAATACATCAATATGGAGAGCACAGAAATGGAGGTGGATGGGTATCCAATATCACAGAAAGTAAACCTGAAGAAGCAGAAGTATATATTCCTGCACCAATTACTGATGCAGAAACACTGCTGCTTATTCAGGGCAAAAGTCAGAAGTGGAGACACTTGTCACTGCTCAGAAACCCACACCCATAACAGAATCATAGAATGTAAAGGGTGAAAGATTGGAGATCATACACTTCAGCTTGAGATGCCATCTGATTTGATTTCAGATGTTATCTGATGAAAATGCAGGATAAAATTCAAATATAATTAAAGAACCTAAGCCAGGATTCACACAACATGCTTGACTGGTATGATTAAAATGTAGCAGTTACACTCTACAACATGCTTAGCTTGGCTAGTTTTAATCCCGATTAGAGCTTTTTTGTGGCTTGGGGTATGATGCAAACCCATCTTATTTGCTTAACATTGTATAGGATCCAATGTATAATGCAAATCCAGAAAATGGGTTAATTCAGTATCCAAGCTAGTGTTTGGGGAAAATCTAGCCTGTCTGTGCTTCAAGTTAGATCTTACCTCTAGCTGTTTGACCCTCTGTAGTATAATCCGATGCTCTCCTGGATCAATATTGAAGGCCTGGTTTAGATGTTAGAGGAGAAATGGTCAGAGACAGAAATTGGTTTCAATATTACACAAAATAGGAAAACCTCAAAAGCAAAAACAAACGTACATTATAACATTAGTTTCTTATAACAGGAATGAAGACTCTGTATCTTGAAGTCACATCCTCACCATAATTTCAAAAACCCTTGGCTTCCAATCCATCCAGACCTTTAGCAAGAAGGCTAGATGGGGGTTAGCCAAGACAGGGAGGGAGAGAAACAGAGGAGTGGTCCATCCTGCCCACCAGCAAAAAGCACCATTTGTCCCAATGGCATTGGGGGAGGGAAAAGAATACACTGAAGAAGAAAGAAAAGAAGCTGGCCTTAAGTGCAACCTAAAGCCTGGGGGCTAAATAATGAGATAGATTAACTTGTCTCTATGGCCCAACCTTTTGCACATATTCATAGAGTTCCTCCGGATCAGTAACATGATTAAGTTCCATTTTGCCCACACGATGGAGAATGGTGTAAAGGACATCTTCGTACAGTGTGGTGAGCTGCAACAATATATTAAAAGCAGATCAGAATCAAACCAGCATAATCTGTTTTGTAATCCAATTGATCATTAATTATTCCATTGAAATCTCCCATCATACAGATATTAGCATAGTCCAATTCAACTATTTTCATGTGTAATTTCCTGTAAAATTCTTCTTGGTTGTCATTGGGAGCATAAATTGCAATTAAAAGAGTTTACACAAGATATGCAGTGAGAATTCAACTATTTTCATGTGTAATTTCCTGTAAAATTCTTCTTGGTTGTCATTGGGAGCATAAATTGCAATTAAAAGAGTTTACACAAGATATGCAGTGAGAATTCAACTATTTTCATGTGTAATTTCCTGTAAAATTCTTCTTGGTTGTCATTGGGAGCATAAATTGCAATTAAAAGAGTTTACACAAGATATGCAG